TTTTTTTTTTTTTTTTTTTTTTCTGTTCTTTTGGGCCTTTTTCAGTTCTACTTTAATTGACGCCGTTACTTCACACATGTGTAGTTTTACTGTAAAGACCTTCCAATTTAGTGGTAATATACTGTGGATGGGGTCTCAAAATCAATAATTCCGTCAAATTTCAGTTTAAATTTCTAACTTTAATTCTTGCTTTATTCAATATTTAAGATTTATTTAAATTTAAGTTAAAGACTTATTTTGGGGAGGGAGACCGAGTTTTTATAATAAAGTAATAGATGCCAATTTAAATCGATAATTTAAATTTTTCTTTATCTTTCGTAAACCACGTTTAAATATTTTATTATGTTACTTAATTTACAATTATTGTAAGGTCTAAACTTGGTATACAAGGCTTCCCTTTTTATTGGTTTCAAAAAATACGAAAAATCTTATTTCATTAGTCCAATTAATTTTTCATTAACCATTAAACGAAATCTTAAATTATTGGAGAATTCAAGCAGTTGTGACGTAAAATGTTTATCCATAAAAATATATTGACCAAAGTAAAAAAGCAAACTATGATAATAATAATAATAAAACAAACAAAAACCCAATTTTTTTTGTAGGATTCTATCCCCTGTGACGCCAAATGCCTATCCATTAATAAATTAAGGTACGGAAGTGCTGAAATAATTTTGTATGTTTGTGTTTGGGAGTTGCAAAATCATCTATCAAAAATTAATGACAATAACTGAAATATATTTTGTACAAAACACTAAATTAATAAAAATACCCACTTCATTTAAAAAAAAAAAAAAAGAATCCTACTTTTTTTAAACTCAAAAGTTGATGAAATTTTTATTTATAGTTATGTATTTTTTTTTTAATTTTTTTGGAAAGTTTTAAGAGTATTATTAATTTTTTAAAAAAAATTAAATATTTTTAATACAAAAATAAAGTTTATAAATATTTTTATTAATTTAGCTCTATATAAGAAGGAAAGAAAGAAAAAAATTGAAATGAATTGGTAGCTGACCCACTATGTCCTGATTTGGTAGAGAAATTGGAGTGTACCAAGAAATTGGTGGAATTTGGGCAGAGACAACAGTTACCTAAAAATCAGCAACCTTGAAATGTTGTTGTTGCCGATGAATAGAGGCCTTCAACAATAAAACCCAGCTGCTCTGGTTTAGCCCAATAAATGGATGATATATCCCGAAAACACAATTATGCAAACAAAGGAACAAAGGTTCAGCAACATGATGTGGGAGAAAATAGACACTGCAGTCTAATAAGTTGTATATGAATGATTAATAGTACACCTCCCTATGTTTTCTTTTTGGAAAGGAAGAGGGGAAACCTTCATCCTCAATTGTAGACCATATACTTGGGGGTTGCACTGAACTTTTGATATCCCTTGATCACTTTGTTCACCGCGTCAAGGAAGTCCTTCTCTGTCACCGTCTTCCTTCGAGCTCGGATGGCGTACATTCCAGCTTCTGTGCAGACACTCCTGATATCGGCCCCTGTAAGAACAGAGATAGTGTTTAGAAAAAATAAAAATGTTCATTTCACTCCTGTAGCCTACATGAGTATGCTGGAAATCATATGAAAAAAATTAGAGGTAAAGATACGTGCACCTAAGATTATTGTGTTTGGAAAATTACATGGGATACAGTTATTTGAACTATTAAAACAACTATTAAAACTTATGGTTTTCGACCGCACCCAACAATGAAATGATGATAATGAAGAATGACAAATGAGTTCTAGTACTTCAGACACCAATCTTTTATCTGAAATTGTCCTTAAGATTCCAGAAAAGCATATATGAAAAAGGTAATGCTGTAAGTCTTAACCTGTGGAATTCGGGCAAAGCCTAGCCAAGAGTTCAAACCGAATGTCCCTCTCACAATTCATGGTCCTTGTATGGATTTTAAAGATCTGTGTCCTACTTTCCAAATCGGGAAGCCCAAACTCGACCTTACGATCAAGCCTTCCAGGTCGTAATAGAGCTGGATCAAGTGTATCAGGCCTGAAGGGAGATGAAAATTAGTAAATGTTAGTTCACAAGCATGTCAATAATTTCAAAACTAGGACTCAGGACTTTCAGCATTTATTTTCTAGCAGATGAGACATACACAGACACAACCCCTGTAGTGAGTTTGACACGTGTGAAAGACTTTACTGTCAAATGACCAGCTGCCACTAATCAAATGACTTACCTATTTGTTGCCATCAGAACTTTGATGTTTCCACGTGCATCAAAGCCATCTAGTTGATTCACAATTTCAAGCATTGTACGTTGGACCTCATTGTCGCCACCAACACCATCATCAAATCGAGCACCTCCTATGGCATCAACTTCATCGAAAAACACTATGCAAGCCTTTTTGGAACGTGCCATCTAGAGCGCACAACAATATATAAGTAAGAAGGCAAAAGTATGAACATCATTCATTTATAACATGAACTAAGAAAAACTACTAAATATAAAGTAACAGCCAACCACCTGGAATAGTTCTCTGACCATACGAGCCCCCTCACCAACATATTTTTGAACAAGTTCACTTCCAATAACACGAATAAAGCAGGCATCTGTTCTGTTAGCTACAGCTCGTGCTAGAAGTGTTTTGCCTGTTCCAGGGGGACCATAGCAAAGAACTCCTTTTGGAGGATCAATTCCTAGCTTTACGAACTTCTCAGGATGAAGCATAGGTAACTCAACAACCTACAAGTAACATTTTTTAATACAAAATAACACAGCAGTAAAAAACTTGAGTTTTTAAGAAATATAAAAATCGGGAAAATATTTAAATTAGTCAAAGGAAAATGCAAATACAAATAAATTTTTTCTACACACCTCTCGCATTTTCTCAATCTGCTCCTTACATCCACCAACATCATTGTAGGTCACATCCGGTTTTTCTTCTACCGTCATCATGGTCACACTTGGATCAATTTTGGGAGGTAAAGGAATTTGAATCTGATATTTATTTCTATCAACACTGCAAGGGCAGAATAAATGTCAATATTGTAAGTCCAATACCATACTTGCAAGTACAAAAACGAGAAAAGATAACCAAAAGCAAAAGAGAATTTTTCAAACAAGCAGATGCATTTCATATTCTGTCATCCCTAAACAGTAGTGAGATATAACAGTGACGAATGCTGGTGTGATAATTCCTAAATGGCTAAATCCAGCATCATAAATGTGGCACATCATAACCATGCATATAAGATAAATAAGCTACTGTCTTGAGGTACATATCTTCCTAACCTTTTTATCATAAGTAGTTTAAGTTTAACTATAAAACGATGGACAGCATAATGAAGAGCTGAACAATGTCAGATTATACCAATAAAAGACGAGAACAGTCTGTAGAGAACATCCAAAACCTACCCTACACGCATGCCTTCTTCTATGTCTGTTGGAGAAACTTTGTCACCGAGTCCAACAACAAACTACATGACAAAATATAAAAGTTAAAGAACCACTGCAGGTTTGATGAATAATTCTAGATAATGAACTATAAATGAAAAAAAAAAACATGATCTTGACGTAAGACCATAAATAAGCAAGTCCCACTATTTCCCTATCCTCCCCAACCCCCCCCCCCCCCC